CAGAGATCTAGAAAAAGAACAAAAAAAAAACCCTAAAACCAGTAGAAGAAAAGAAATAATAAAAACCAAAGCAGAAATAAATGAAATTGAAACTAAAAAAACAATCCAAAAGATCAATGAAACCAAGAGCTGGTTCTTTGAAAAAATCAATAAAAGAGACAAACCCCTAGCCAGGCTCACAAAGGAAAAAAGGGAGAAAGCACAAATAAACAGGATCATAAATGAAAGAGGAGAAATCACAACGGACACAGCAGAAATCAAAAGAATAATCAGTAACTACTATGAACAGTTATATGGAAACAAGTTCAACAATCTAGAGGAGATGGACAAATTCCTACAACTCTACAATCACCCAAAGCTAGATAAAGAAGAAATAGAACACCTAAACAGACCAATTACAAGCAGCGAAATTGAAATGGTAATCAAAAACCTTCCCAAAACAAAAGCCAGGACCTGATGGATTTACAAATGAATTCTACCAAGATTCAGAGACGAATTAGTGCCTATCCTTCACAAACTCTTCCAAAAAATTGAGAAGGAAGGGACAATACCAAACACGTTCTATGAAGCCAACATTACACTAATACCAAAACCGAACAAGGACAACACAAAAAAGGAAAACTACAGGCCAATCTCCCTAATGAACACTGATGCAAAAATCCTCAATAAAATTTTAGCTATCAGAATCCAACAATGTATCCATAAGATAATTCACCACGACCAAGTAGGATTCATTCCAGGGACACAAGGATGGTTTAACATCCGAAAATCAATCAACGTTATCCAACACATCAACAAAAAGAAATATAAAAACCATATGATAATATCAATAGATGCTGAGAAAGCTTTTGACAAAGTGCAACACCCATTCATGATAAAAGCCCTTGAAATTCTTGGGATACAAGGAACATACCTCAACATCATAAAGGCCATCTATGACAAGCCAACAGCCAGTATCATTCTCAATGGTGAAAAGCTGAAAGCAATTCCATTAAGATCTGGAACAAGACAAGGATGTCCACTCTCACCACTGCTTTTCAATATAATACTGGAAGTCCTAGCCAGAGCAATAAGAGAAAGACAAACAAGGAATCCAAATAGGAAAAGAAGAAGTCAAACTATCACTATTTGCAGATGATATGATAATATACATAGAGAACCCCAAAAACTCCACAGAAAAACTAATTCAACTCATCAATCAGTTCAGTAAAGTGGCAGGATACAAAATCAACATGCAAAAGTCAGTAGCCTCCCTATACACAAACAATAAATCTGAAGAAGAAGAAATCAATAAAACCATCCCTTTTATTATCGAAACAAAAAAAAATCAAATATTTGGAATAAATCTAACAAAGAGGTAAAGGACCTATACAAAGAAAACTATAAAACACTGTTAAAAGAAATAGAAGAAGACACAAAGAAATGGAAAGACATCCCCTGCTCATGGATTGGAAGAATAAACATTATTAAAATGGCCATCCTACCAAAAGCAATATACAGATTCAATGCTATTCCAATCAAAATTTCAATGTCATTCTTCAAAGAAATAGAACAATTATTGATGAAATTCATATGGAATCACCAAAAACCCCGAATAGCCAAAGCTCTCCTGAAAAAAAAAGAAGGAAATGGAGGCATCACACTCCCAGACTTCAAACTATACTACAAAGCCATAATCATCAAAACTGCATGGTATTGGAACAAGAACAGACATACAGACCAATGGAATCGAATAGAAAATCCAGAAATAAACCCACAGATTTATGGTCAACTAATCTTTGACAAAGGAGCAAAGACTATGCATTGGAGCAAAGAGAGTTTGTTCAATAAATGGTGCTGGGAAAACTGGGTTGCTACATGCAAAAGAATGAAGCTTGACCACTACCTCACACCATACACAAAAATCAACTCAAAATGGATTAAAGAACTAGACATAAGACCTGAAACCATAAAATACATAGAAGGAAATATAGGTGAAACACTACATGATCTGCATACCAAAGACATCTTTACAGACACATCACCCAAAGCAGTGATAGTGAAGGCAAAGATAAACAGCTGGGACTACATCAAATTAAAGAGCTTCTGCACAGCAAAAGAGACAATAACAAAAACAAAGAGAAACCCCACCAACTGGGAGAACATTTTTGCACCCAACACTAATGATAAAGGACTGATCACAAAAATCTGCAAAGAGCTGATGAGACTCAACAACAACAAAGAAAATAACCCAGTCAAAAAATGGGCAGAAGAGCTAAAAAGAAACTTCTCTGAAGAGGAAATGCAAATGGCCAACAGACATATGAAAAAATGTTCAACATCACTTGTAATCAGGGAAATGCAAATCAAAACTACCATGAGATACCATCTTACACCAGTGAGAATGGCACATATTAAAAAAACTAGCAACAACAAATGTTGGCGAGGGTGTGGAGAAAAAGGAACTCTCCTGCACTGTTGGTGGGAATGCAAACTGGTCCAACCACTATGGAGAGCTGTGTGGAGATTTCTGGACCTACTAAACATAGAGCTTCCATATGATCCAGCAATTCCACTCCTAGGTATTTACCCAAAGGACACAGAAACATCAATTCCAAAGAACACCTGCACCCCTATGTTTATAGCAGCACTATTTACAATAGCTAAGCTTTGGAAACAGCTCAAATGCCCAAAAATAGATGACTGGATCAAGAAGATGTGGTACATATACACCATGGAATATTACTCAGCATTCAAAAAAGATAAACACATGCAATTTGCAGCAACATGGATGGCGCTGGAAGGGATCATGCTCAGCAAAATAAGCCAAAAAGAAAAAGAAAAATACCGGATGGTCTCACTCATAGCAGGAATCTAGAAAACTTAAATAAGGGATCAGGAAAATGAATAACTATAAGAAAGTGAAAATCTAAATCAACAAAAAACTATGAACCAGAGACACTTTTTGGGGGGTGGGGGCCGGGAGGGGAGGGATTGGGGTCAGAATGGGGCATGTGCAGTTGTATGGGGGAATATAAAAATAAAATTTATTATTTTAAAAAAAAAATTAAAAAAAAAAACTTCTACACATTGAAAGAAACCACAGTTAAAACAAAAATGCAGTCTAATGAATGGGAGAAAATATTTGCAAACCATATGTCAGACAACGGGTTAATACACAAAATATGTAATTCATATGAACCAACACAAACAAAAAAATAAAGCCCAATTTAAAAATAGAGGATCTACATAGACATTTACATCAAAGGAGAAATGCAGATGACCAAAAGACACATGAAAAGATGTTCTATATTGCTTACCATTAGGAAATGCAAATCAAAATTACAATGAGATTTCATTTCATACCAGTTAGAATAGCTATTATTAAAAGCTAAGAAATAAGCATTGTCAAGGATGTGGAGAAAAAGGAACCCCTGAGCACTGTTGGTGTGAATGTAAATTGGTGGAGCCACGATGGAAAACAGTATGGAGGTTCATCAAGAAGTTAAAAATAGAACTATCATTCAACCCAATTAATCCCACGTCTGGATATCTATCAGAAGAATATGAAAATACTAATTAAAAAAAGAGATGCATCCCTATGTTAATTATAGTATAATTTACAATAACCAAGATATGTCAATAGCCCAAGTACCATAACAAATGAATAAAGATGTTATATATATATGTGTACACACACACACACACACACACACACACACACTCTTCAGCCATAAAAAAGAAAAATCTTGGCATTTGCAATGACATTCCCCTTTGAGGAGATTATGTTAAGGTAAGTCAGAAGAAGTATGTTTTCACTCATTTCTGGAATAAAATGAAAAACAAAAACCCTTACTCTTACAACAGAATGGCAGTTATGAGAAGGGAAGTATGGGGATGGGGAGAGGAGATCAACTGGTAACTGGATGTTTGATGGTGGCTCGGTAAGGTATGTGCAGTTCTTGAGGTGAAAAATGATCCTGAAGCCTAAACAGTGTTGTAAACTAATGATACCTAAGTAAATAAAGTAGAAGAAAACTTTAAAAAAAAATGACATCACAGGATGGTTCACTGGTACTGTGGTGGTGGGAAAAATTTTGGGGACTACACCTGGGACGAGAAATCAAATATTGTACAAAAATAATGATTAAAAAAAATGAAAATAAAGACATCACAAGAAAATTACAAATATTCCCTATGAACATAAACACAAAAATCCCCAATAATATACTAGCAAACTAAATCTGAAAATATATATATAGAATTACATACTACTAGCATAAAGTGTGGTCCTTCTCAAAACTGCAACTGAAAGATTACATTTACATCATATACTTCTTTTACAGTAATAAAATCTAAATCCAAGATAGTATAAATCCATGATAGGTATAAAATAAAACTGCACTAATTTGCACTAAGGTGATAGATTTCTTGTCAGACATTATTTACTGAATAACATCAAATGATATATATTTTAGTATTAGGATCATGGTATAAAAGTAATTCTAATTTAATGAATCATGCAGCTGTTTGAAAAATAAATTCCATTTTAAGTCAAAGTAATTCTTGGCAATCAAATAGCTTTACTTTTTTATTTTTTTTTTAAAGATTTATTTTTTATTTATTTATACAAGAACTGGGGTACAGGCCAGATGCATGGGAGGGTGAAAGGATTCACCAGAGACAGAGCAGAGAAAAGAACAGGGAGACTGACAAAATACACTGCTGAGGGGAGCAGCAGGCACGACAGGAGAGGTCTGTGGGACCATCGCCAGCAGGCCAGGATCGAACTGGTACTGCTGAGGCTGCGGACAGCTTCACAGCGCGATGCTCAACTGCCTGCGCCACCAGGGGAGGCCCATCTTTACTTTTTTAAATTAAACAATGATTAATGCACTAAAAACTAAACATGCACACAAATTCACATATGTAATTGATTAATCTAAATCTTAAGAGGTTTATATCATTTGCAAAATGTTTTTAATGTTAACTCAAAACACCTGACACACAGAAAAACTAACCTCAGGACCTGAATGTAGAGTCAGGAAACTTTCCACAGCAGTCAAAGTACCTAAAAGAGAATGGTGAGAGCAGAAATAAAAAAAAAATCTACTTAGCCATGACAAATAGTAGTAAACTATTTCTATTCATCTAGGGACCATTTTATCATACTATACTGCTAAAATCAGGAAATCTGTATTGAAAACAGTTTTATTATGTTAAGCAGACTTAAGCAGCTAGTCAGGTAAATTGTCAGAAATAGTAGTTTAGTGTGAACTCTAACTGCTAGTACTGACATAATCTCTTCCAGTGTTCAAGCTGACAACCTCCAATAAGACAACAATTTAGATTGCTCATTCCAGAGGGCCATTAGGACACATTTCTCAAAATTACACTTATGGGAATTATTTTGTTTCCCAATATGACAGCTTTCAAGAAGGCTTATTACTAGTGACTTACAGTGAAAACTATTAAAATGGCCTTGTGATGTCATATACTTACGGGCTGCTAAGGTGAAATAAAAATATAAATAGAAAAGCAGAAAATCTAAGCCAGAAAAAAAAGGGGGGAAATCAACTACACTGACCATGAAAACTAATATACAGGTATAGTGGCTAGTAAATAATTAATTAATCAAGTTCTGAGTTTCTTGATAGTGGTTAAACAAAAGAAAAACATAATGGCCTGGTGATTCTCAAAATCTGATAAAATGAACTATATTCATTTCTTAAAAGATGGTATTCCAACATTAGTTGCAACAGAAAATTAAGACCAGAGGTTTTAGAAAGTTGACAATGAGCAGAATAACAACTAAATCATCAACAATAATGTTACAGCAGAAGAGAACTATAGTCACATTAATGTTGCTACTCTGACTGCTGAGAAAAACCAAGAACAGATTATTAAAGCACAATTTAGTGGAGATGATTCTGAGGATTAGGAGAATATGGTCTGCATATATGTCCCTGTGATCTAAGCCTATCCAAAGAAAGAATGTGGACCTCCTAAAGCAATGTGTAAATGTGAAGCACCTATATAAAACATCAGCTGGGGTGCTTATTAAAATGCTCACTCCTAGGCTTCAATATCTCAAAAAAAGCTTTTATTTATTATGTTTTTAAGATTTATTTATTTATACAAGAACCGGGGTTCAGGCCAGATGCTTGGGAGGGTGAGAGGATTCACCAGAGACATAGTGGGGAACAGAACAGGCAGACTGATGAAATACACTGCTGACGTGAGCAGCAGGCGAGACAGGAGAGGTCTGCCGTGCCATGTGGGACACTCGCCGGCCGGCTGGGATAGAACCAGCGCAGCAGAGGCGGTGGACAGCTTCACAGTGCGGTGCTCAAGGGCCTGCGCCACCAGGGGAGGCCCTCAAAAAAAAGCTTTTAAACAAAGATTAATGTAATAATTCTTTCATGAAAAGAAAACCTATTCAAAATAACTAAAGACTTCTCTCTCTCTTATCTATCCATCCACCAATATATTGAAACAACCTAAATAAGAAATATGAAAACTATCATGAAGAAAATTTTTAAACTTTGCACTCTTAAGAGAATTCTTTTATTAAATGGACACATAGCAGGGTCCATGGATTACAAGATTAAATATCTTTTTTTTTTTTTTAAAGATTTATTTTTTATTTATTTATGTAAGCACTGGGTACAGTCAGAAGCGCGGGAGGGCGAGAGAATTCACCAGAGCCAGAGCGGGGAACAGAACAGGCAGAAGGACCAAAGTACACTGCTGAGGGGAGCAGCGGGCGGCAGGAGAGATCTGCGCGCCATGTGGGACCCTCCTCCCGTGGCCGGGGAGCAGCCGGGGATCGAACCGGCGCTGCAGAGGCTGCGGGCAGCTTCACAACCCAGCGCTCAACCGCTGCGCCACCAGGGAGGCCAGATTAAATATCTCAAAGATGCTCAATTCATGTTTTTTTTTAATTGGGAATTGTCCCAGTGTTTTAGCATTAAATACTGTGATGGTCATTGCCTTCTAATAGCTATTATGTTAAGAAAATATTCTGTTCCCCAAAATCTGAAATCAGTAAATGGCATGAATTCTCAAATCATCTGTGGAAATGGGCATAGTTTTTCACTTTTGATATTCTGATGTGATGATTGTTTTTCTTAATAAATAATGACCTGATATATTATTTTAAAATGCCATTAAAAATTCATTAGCTTTATTTAGTATTTTCTTTTTACTACTAATTTCATAATTAAGGTTGATTAGCAGCTTTCTCCTTTTTTTGCGCTACTTTATTGAGCTTTGGTTTCAGAGTAAACTTTAAATGTAAACTGCAACAATTTCCATGCTTTTAAAGTTCTAAATAAGTTTAACATTGGCACTGGAGTTAACAGTTTCAGGTCATTTTCTAAATGGGCACTTTTAAAATATGCAAGACATTAGTAACTTCTATACTATACTGTTAATAATTTTTTCCATTCTTAGTCTCCATTTTAAAAATCGGGTAAAAAAGATGCCCAGAATTTTGATCAATACTTTCTAGCTTTGTTGGTTAAAAAAATGAAAACCTTTTAACTATATCTATATAAATTGCACTTTAAAATGTTACACTCTAAATAAAATAAATTTGAATTTATAATGGAAGGCAAAAAAGTTTTCCAGAAATTTTATTGCTACAGCCTCACTTCAGAACACATACATATGATCCATGTCAAAAAAAAATGTAGCATCAAGAGAATTTTATAACAAGTGTAGTTATATTAATAACAAGGTATGAGTTTAAATTTAGTTATTTACAGTTGTGTCTTTTCCCAACTAGATTTTAGTTTATCACAATTGCAAACATGTTAAATTCCATTTTAGATGAAATTATTGTCTATGGGTTAATAATTACCATTCATTTTACTTTTGGTATATAATACTCCCAGATCTGCTGGAATACAGTCAAAACCACAGCTTCCGATGATATAAACTCCTTTTTCTGCAGCTTTCTCATGATACTTCCAGTACATTAGTTCCAGAAACTAAAAAATTCAGGACAAAAAAATATGAACCAGAGCTACATAGTAACTGCTACAGCAGTACTATAAGATTTACCTTTAAAACCAATGGAATTAAACTTGAAAAGCTAACTAATATGGCACTGTGACCAAACGTTAACTGTTAAAATGTTTTTTTCCTTAGTTAACAAATATTTATTGTCTATCTACCATGTTCCAGGTGGTGCAGTAGAATGCTGATCTGACATCACACTATCAAGTTTTTAGAGAGACTTTTGAATGTAAAAGTAGTATCTATTCTCAAAAATACAAAGAAAGCAAGAAAAGGTACTCCAAATCACATTACCCAGATGAACATCATAGACATATAAATAGTACAAAGATAGAATGGCAGGAAAGTCGGGAATGCAAGAGGGAAATAATGACTGTTCTAATCCTTAGTCTTTTTTTAAAAAATTATTTTTTAGAACAGTTTTATATTTGCTGAAAATTGAACAGTAAAGTTTCCCAAGTACCCTGCACCCATTTCCTTATTATATCTGTTAAAGTAACATTTGTTCAACAAACCAATATTGATACATTATCATTAACTGAAGTCCACACTTTATTCATATTTACTTAGTTTTTACCTAATGTCCTTTCTCTGTTCTAGAATTCCAACCAGGATAATGCATTACGTATTTTTTAAAAGATTTATTTATTTATACAAGCACTGGGGTACAGTCAGAGGCGTGGGAGGGTGAGAGAATTCACCAGAGCCAGAGTGGAGAGCAGAACAGGCAGACTGACGAAGTACACTGCTGAGGGGAGCAGCAGGCAGCAGGAGAGGTTTGCGCACCATGGGGGACCCTTACCCCATGGGCCGGGGATCGAACCAGCGCTGCAGAGGCTGCTGAGGCTGCAGGCAGCTTCGCAACCCAGCACTCAATCGCTGGGCAACGCCGGGGAGGCCCCGCATTACATTTAATTGTCATGTCTCCTTAGGTCCCTCTTGGCTGTTACAGTTTCTTAGACTTTCCTTATTGGTGACTTTAACAGTTTCTCAGAGAATTGGTAAAGCATTCTGTAGATTCCCCCTCTACTGGAATTTATCTCATAATATTCTCATGACTGGAGTTACAAGATTTGGGGAAGAAACAGGGGTAAAACATGTCATTTTGTCACATCCCACCAAGGGTACACACTAGCAATATGATTTCTCACTGCTGATGTTGACCTTGAAAATCTGGCTGAGAAATATTTATCAGGTTTCTCCACTGTCAAGTCACCTTTGTCCCCCTCTTTTCCATTCTGTACTCTTTGGGAGAACTGGCTATATGTTGTCCTTATGTAAGAAATGGGGAATTTATGTTCCCCTCCTTGAGGCAAAAAATCTACATAAATTATTTGTAATTCTTCTGTAAAGATTTGTCTCTTCCTCTTCCTTTACCCATTTTTTAATTAATTGAATTTGCATCATTGACTTATAAATTTCCTATATATTCTGGATCTTTATTAGGTTTTGATATCACTTCTATGGTAGTTTATAATGGTAACTTAAAAGTGATTCATTATTTTCTTTGCTCTGGAATATTTAACTAAGATAGGAATTGTTTTTATTTATATTTTCTACCTTTTCTTGAATCAATTTTGACAATTTATACTTTCTTAGTATCTCCAATTTATATATATATATATTTTTTTTAAATGTTTTTTTTTTTTTTTTAAGATTTATTTATTTATTTATTTATACAAGCACTGGGTATAGTCAGAAGCGCGGGAGGGTGAGAGAATTCACCAGAGTCAGAGCAGGATGCAGAACAGGCAGAAGGACCGAAGTACACTGCTGAGGGGAGCAGCGGGCGGCAGGAGAGGTCTGCGCGCCATGTGGGACCCTCCTCTGGTGGCTGGGGAGCAGCCAGGGATCGAGCAGCCGGGGATTGAACCGGCACTGCAGAGGCTGCGGGCAGCTTCGCAACCCAGCGCTCAACCGCTGCGCCACCGGGGAGGCCCAGTATCTCCAATTTATATTACTAATCAATAAACATGCTATCTTGGCACACTGATGATATAATCAATAAAGACTATAGGGATAAATGAGGATACAGTTTTAAAGCTTAGAGCTTCCTATAGTCCAGCAAATCTCAATTCAAGTCTTTTTTTTTTTTTAAAGATTTTATTTATTTATTTGTTTATTTATTTATTTTATTTATTTATACAAGCACTGGGTACAGTCAGAAGCGCGGGAGGGTGAGAGAACTCACCAGAGCCAGAGCAGGGAGCAGAGCAGGCAGAAGGACCGAAGTACACTGCTGAGGGGAGCAGCGGGCGGCAGGAGAGGTCTGCGCGCCATATGGGACCCTCCTCCGGTGGCCGGGGAGCAGCCGGGGATTGAACTGGCGCTGCAGAGGCTGCGGGCAGCTTCGCAACCCAGCGCTGCGCCACTGGGGAGGCCCTCAATTCAAATGGGTAAACTAAGAGGTCTTAGTTCTTCTACTTATTAGTTGCATAATTCTGAGTTATTTATTTAACCTTCCTAAACTTCAATTTCTTCATCTATAAAATAGGTGGAAAAAGGCCTCCCTGGTGGCGCAAGGGATTAAGCACCACACTATGAAGCAATCCACAGCCTCTGCAGCGCAAGTTCGATCCCCGGCACGCCAGGGAGCAACCCACATGGCACAGCAGACCTCTCCTGTCTTGCCTGCTGCTCCCCTCAGCAGTCTATTTCATCAGTCTGCCTGCTCTATTCCCCACTCCGTCTCTGGTGAGTCCTCTCACCCCCTGCATCTCTGGCCTGTACCCCAGCTCTTGTATACATAAATAAATCTTTAAAAAAAAAAATGGGAAAAGATACCTATCTTATAGGAATGTCGAAAAAGTTACATAAAATACTTAGCATAATGTTAGGTATGTGGTAAGTATTCATTAAATGCAAACATTTAAAATTTTTCAAATAAAGGAATTTTTTCACTTATATTTCTGTAATATGTAAAGGTGCTAATTTTAAAAAGGGAATTATGAAAAAGTTCTAAACGTAAGATTCAGAGAAAGGTACTCAGAACACTATTTTGATTAATTTCATTTATCAAAATAAAATCAGTACATCCTATATACATATAAAAATCAGTACATCATATATACGTACATACACATATGCACATACATATACATATATATACATAAATCAATACACCCTGTATACAATGAACCTGAAACAAATGAGGGTGCAGCAAAGAAAAAAAAATCCAGAAAACTAAAGGTACAACTTTACCATCATGCTCTCTTTCAAGTTATCAGTGGAATATCAGCTCTAAAAACTAAAGAGATGTCATCAACTTCTAAACTATGTCCGCAACATTACACTATTTTCCACTTTCTTCTTTATTTTACATACCTGAGGTTCTCCACAGATGTCAACACAGCTAGTTCCATTTTCAACACATGCTTTTACTACAGGTTCTCCATAAAAGCGATACTGCAGAAATAGAGAAAACCAACAGTTTACTCTTACTTGGCAAGTTTAAATGAATGCAATACCATTGCATTTTGAAAGTACAGTCTTGGTTATTAAGAAACTAAATATTAATAAAATAACCTAGAGATAAAAACGAGAAAATAATGTAGCTACGCTAAACAATCTCCCATAGTGAAAAGCCATGATGGAATTAAAAAGGATAGGGCTTACCCCCAACTAAAGATAAAATGGGAAGTTTTATAGAAGTGATTCATTTGAGTTGACCCTTCTGAATCAGGTTTTCTGAGGCAGACTCCAGTAATGTGCATAGGTGAAGCCTCACAGATGAAGAGTAAGGATTTACCAGGAAAAAGAAAAATCCAGATTAAAGAAGTGTATGTAAAGCTATAAGACAGGGATATTCAGGATACCAGAAGCACAGACTAATGGAGAGGGGATGGTAAATGTCTGGAAAGAAACATTTGGGCCAGATTAGGAAGAGCCATGAGTTGCCATGCTACCAACACTGAACTTTATTTTTTTTTGGATTTCTCAGCTCTCCTGGAGAATTTTAAATAGTACAGTGGTATGAGATTTATTGTATAAACATCTCACTCTGCATGCAGCATGGGAAAACAAGACATATGATCAGTAAGAAATAATGAAGGACAAAACTAAGCAGAAATATATACAAAGGATGAGATATAACAACATGGCAAAAATTATTGGACATCCTGATTTGCTGAACACGGGGGACCAACAGCTAGTGATACTATAAAGCAAAATAAAGAAAAACAGGTTGAGGGGATAAGTTTAATATTGGACAGAGTAGATATTCTGAACCTGTACCATACTGGATGTCCCAAATTATTTGTTGCTCAAACTAAAGGAAAACAAAATGTTAATGTGTAACACTTAATAACATCAGGATCTGTCCCATTTCAAAGTATTTATTTTTTTCCTATATGAAGACAGCATAAGGAACAGCACAAACCTCTCTGCTTTTCTCATTCTGACAGCAAAAGATGTAGGAAAGAGATACTCTTTTCCTTTTAGCCCTTAAGAAACAGGTAAAACAACACTTAAAAGATAGGGCAACGCAATATTGACCTTTTCAAGTAGGTCAGATGGCTGTCCTCTTTTACTTACCCAAAAAGCCAACTAGCCTCCTCCTCCCCTTTAAGAATAACAAATGACATTAAAATTACTGAACTAGTAAAGTGTATTTAAATTCTAGTTCCTTCTCTGCCATTAATCAACCTCATAAAATTGCTGAAGTGCATACTTCTCAGACAAGGTAGTATAATGGGACAAAGAAGGGTTTTTTCAGGGCAGAAAGATTCAAGTTCACTCCCTAAATACATTATCTATTACCTATATAAATTGATTCACAATTACATGGATTACTATATTAATATCCATTTTAAACATACATAAAAGAAAAAAGTGGAGATTAAAATAGATGTCAAAATTCTTTTTCTGTATCAACTGGAACACGCTGGGTAATTCTTAAGATTTACACATATCCTCTTGGAAACTCATTTAGAGAATTCTTTAGCCTTTCTTTTTGTTATCTTACCCCAGTTTCTCAAGTTGGCTAGCATTCCACCTGCTTAGAATTACCTGGGTCACTTGTTAAACACGCTGGTTATTTATTCCCACTGTAAGTCCCTTCTGAATCAGGATTTTTGGGGTAGACCCCAGTAACCTGCATATAAAATAAGCCCCATAGGCAATTCTTGTTCATTAGAGCTAGAGCATTGCCTATCTAGACATTCTCCCTAGAAAATTTCATCTACATTTCCTGACTTCAACTACAACATATATGCTGATGATATTCAACCTCTATCTCCAGAGCGTGTTACTGATAAGATTTCCTTATTTGTGTATTCTGTTAGAAAGTTGATGACCACCAAGAGCACAAGATATATGGCATGTTTTATGAATAAAACTGTTCATTTTAGCTTCATTTTTCCTCCTCTATTTTCTTCATCCTGATTTCGTCTTACTTAAAAAAAAATTCCACCATCTTGTATGCATGTGCTATTTTAATTAATGTAAGAATATACTGCAGATAGCTCAGTTTCAACATGTTCAAAATCAAATTCATCACTTCTCCCAAAACCTGTTTTTCCTCCTACACTTCCTAGCACTAGAACATTCAAGTGTAGGCTCTAGTTCAGACTGCCTATGTTTCACTTCTGCTATCTTTTCTTTTCTAACCCAAAAGAGAAGATAATGAGACAAGACCATAAAAATGGGCTGAACAGCATGGTTTGTCTAGCACATGGGGTTTAAAGTTAAGCCTGATTTAAATTCAGGCCCTATACTCACTGTGATCCTGGACAAGTTACTTTATCAACCTTCAATTTCTTTGGGGAAAAAAAAGGATAGTTACAGCATGTACTTCACTGGGTTGTAGTGAAGATGAAATCAGGTAATACTAAGAGCTTAGCAAAGTACTGGGCACTAGACTCAGTAAATGTTAGTTTTATTCTTTTTTTTTTTTTTAAAGATTTATTTATTTATTTATACAAGCACTGGGTATAGTCAGAAGGCAGCAGGGTGAGAGAATTCACCAGAGCCAGAGTGGGGAAAAGAACAGGTAGACTGATGAAATACACTGCTGAGGGGAGCGGCGGGCGCGGCAGGAGAGGTCTGCGCACCATGTGGGACTCTCGCCGGCGGCCGGGGATCAAACCGGCGCTGTACAGGCTGCAGGCAGCTTCGCAGCCCAGCGCTCAACCATTGCGCCTCCAAGGGAAGCCCCTAGTTTTATTATTTTTTGTTTTTATTATTGGCATCATTCTCCACACAATTCTCAGATGAAAAACATGGAAGTTGTTTCTGGCTCTATCTATTCTGGAAGTCACCGAGTTTTAAATCAAATCATTCCCCCCTCCTCTACACTTCCAAATCTTAGTTCACACCCGTGACCCCTCACCTAACTTAATACAAACAGTAACTGTCTTCACTGCAGCCAATGCAGCCCCAAGAAATATGAAATCATTCTAAAATAAAAATCTGCTATCATCCTTGGTCCCACCCCCACATATCCATCTTAAAATTCTTCACTACGTCTCCAGTGCCTATCACACAGTATAAAATTCATACTTCTTAGCATGTATGTCAGAAAAAGTCTTCAAGCATCATGTCACACCAGAGCCCTTTAATCCCCATATTTCAGCAATTCTAAATTCCCTATAATTGCCTAAACATACTTAGGCAATTATGTATGTTTTGCCTAACATAACAATGTTAGGCAATAACATAACATAACAATGTTATGTATGTTTTTGCCTAACATGCTGTTTCTTCACATTCATATGTTTTTGCTTTTACTATATGGAACATCTTCTACCCATTCTGTGACTTCCGGGCTTTCTCCCAACTTCTCCAGGTTTAGCATTTTAGCCTCAGGTTCACTTCTCATGCCTCAGCTAGTAAGCTGTAAGTCTTTCAGCTATTCGGTTTATGTACAAGTATTGGCAAGTTACAGTAAAACATTAATGAGCTTCTGAAAATAATAACTCCTTCTGGAAAGAGTTCACACTTTCCTATCCACTATAAGTGTCCCACACCTTATATCGTATTCTTTTCACCTGAACTACTACCCCTTTGGGTAATCTAAGGGTGAGACTTCCACACAAATATTCCTAAACCATTATGATTTCTTTCTTAGTACTCTTGTGTTTTTATGAGATGAATGGACAGAGTTAGAATAGCAATCTTTGATCTCAAAGAAGACAAGTTCCCCTCGTGAAGTCAATTTATAGGTCAAAACTGCAATCCTGCTCTCAAAACTTCATGTTCTAACCCAATGGTCTCCCAAGTAGGTGTGTACAGAATGATCCCTTGAATGTAGAAATAAATATTAATATTTTTATTCATGCTAAGTGTTACAGGAAACACAAGAGAAAAGTTAAGTTTTAGGGCCTCCCTGGTGGTACAGAGATTAAAGTCTTAGTGCTATCAAGCTAACGTCAGCCACTGCGGCATGAGTTCAATCCCTAGCCAGGGAGCTACCCACATGGCACAGCAGGCCTCTCCTGTCTCACCTACTGCTCCCCTCAACAGTGTATTTCAGTAGATCTGCCTGTTCTGCTCCCCACTCTGTCTCTGGTGAACAATCACACCCCCTGCACCTCTGGCCTACACACCAGTTCTTGTATGAATAATCTTTAGAAAAAAAGTTAAGTTTTGTTAGTAGTTAATATATTCGTTGAATGCAGAATGTTCCTTGGTCATGTGGCCATATACTGAATATAGATACTAAAGATATCCTGAGGGCAATGGGGGGGAGTTCCACAATACATAGGGGTCATAATGACACCCTCATTCATTCAGTCATTTTGGGGACATTTGACCTAATTTTTGTTTACATATACTGATAAGTTTAACCACTATTATTTGGCTTTAACTAAATAAACCCTCATAAAATAGACAAAAACAAAACAAAGACCCCAATTTGCAAAGAAACAAGTTTTGAGTCCAAACTGGCACAGGAGATACTTGTACCCTTGAGAGCATAAATTCTCTCTCTAAATCACCCTTATTACAAAGTGAAAATGACAATCTAAGTAGAGATTAGGGAGGAGCAGATTTGGGGGGCAAAAACCCGGAGACTGAGAAGCCAAGTGGAAACATCCGGAATTAGGTAGTTACATTCATCAGTCTGGAGGTTAAGGGGAGGTCCTCACTGGAGATAAATTAAATTAGGTATTATCAACATACAGTTAGTATTTAACCATGGCATCCAACCCATTCTGATCATAATTCATGCTTCTAAGAAATTCATTTCCCAGAGCAGCACCATACACAAATATATCTAACTGAAATTAAAGATTTACAAACCAGCAGTACTTACCATTATTATATAATTCACCCTACTTCCTATTCCAAGTATCTCATGTTTGTTTGTTTTTTAAAGATTTATCCATTTATGCATACAAGAGCTGGGGTACAGGCCAGAGATGTGGGGGTGAGAGGATTCACCACAGAGTGGGGAATAGAACAGGCAG